CTCCATGAACTTTGTGGATACGCTTGCAGGGGGCATATCTATCTGCACAATCGCATTTTTACAAATGCACACAGAGGGAACGGCAAGTAATACATTTTTCAATTTAGTCAGCATTTGGGAATAATATCATGCATCGGTATAATGATCATCATCATTGGTTGAAGAAGTGACTGTCCAACGCTAACTTCATCAGGGCGATGAAGTTGGCTTCCGGTATAAATGAAACTCATTCAGGTATCTTAAATTTTCAGCTATGTTGGAGCAGATTTGAAAATTTAATACTTCTTCAAGTTGCTTTCAGGAATTTTCAGACAAGCAAACCACTTGATATACTCACGCTCAAAGAGATTTCCTTTGGCATAAAGAGTGGCAGGGAAGGTAGTCAAACCGGCCTGTGTTGAGGAATCTTCGAGCATTGCTTCTCGCAATTCTTGTAAGGTTTGTGCACTCAGCAGTTGGTCTAGGTGTTATCTGGCTATTGGACGAACAATGGGTTCAATGCTAACATTTTCGACTTTTACAAACAGCCATATCACCCTCATGATGACTAAAAATCCCAAGGACAAACCCCTCGGGGTATTGCAGAGCCTTTGAAACTCACAGGAATATAAATATTTTATAGTTTTCCGTTCTAAAAATCAATAAAGGACCTAAAATAGTAAGACTTAAAACAGTTTTAATTCACGCATCAAACTTGAGTTAATTAGCTCCTTTAAAAATTAGTACTACTACAAATAAGACGCTCTTATAGCGCTTCTGTGCGCTCTGCGACACCCAACCGCCACTGATAGCGATCCTACCAGAGCTCCTCCGGCAGATCGCATCTCCTCATTTCCTGCCTTATTCCCTCAACCCACAAAAAATTACTCTCCAAAAATACTAAACATTTCCAGAAAACTCCTCCCTGTATGCCCAGGCAGCACACATGAAACCTACTAACACTTTTTCATTTCCTTCTCTGAACAAACCTAAAAAAGATTATTTCGCAATCGTATTGCCGTTACCTTTTCGAGAGTAAATTGAGTGGCAGGATTTCTTGGATCGTAACCGGGGCGCCGTATATCATTTGGAAACTAATGTTTCCTCTCTCCATCGGAGGACGCGATTTTCTTTCCATCCGTCAAAGATAAGCCATTGGCGACGCAGTGATAGCTGGCCTTGGTTCCGCGGCTGCTGCGGAACCAAAGGACAGCTACACGGAGGTTGGGGAATTGTTTTCGGAGGAACGCTCCAAAGAGCCGTCGTACCCGCCCAAAAGTCAATGCTTCTGGAACTCCGGCGGCCGGAACGTCCCACTCGACGTCAAGATACGGCTTGCATGGCCGAGTGTTCGGAATTACTTCGTAAACGGCGGGGAAAGGGCCTTCAAAGTCGTTACTCAGGGATTTTAGTTTTCTGTACAAATAATCAGGAGAACTGTAGAGAGCGAATTTTCTTGTTGGGTCCGGTCCAGTACAATACGCTACGGGAATCGATTCACTGTTGCGACTTACATGGGCCATCATCGATGTAACTGATGTGTAATTGCCCCATCTGTAACAACAAAAGTAATAATCCTGCAAATGAGTCTATGTATTTATTGTATGGGAAAGTGTCGGTAATTGTGGAATAGAGAGTTTATGTTTTGGAACAGCAGGTTATCACCATGAAAAGGACGTTGTGCGTAGTAGTGTATGTCAAAGGGGATTGGTAGACAGAATGCTTATAACCGTTTCGTTTAAGAATTGGTGCGAAATGTTAAAAGCAATTGGACGAAAATCCTCATAATCAATTTTCTATCGATTACCTTTGGCAAACAGTACCACCCGCAACTTTGTTTCATATTCAATGTTTGAAAACGGCAGGAAACTTATCCTATATGAGGATTTATTAAATATTGGGCTGTGGCGCTATGTAATTGCAGATGGAGCGTTACAAAAATTATAGATCCAGTTTAACAAAAATAATTGATGGCGTTCACAATTAACGAGGATGGGAGAAAACAAACACAGCCTTACGTTGTGACCCCCAGCCCAATTGAATTTTCATTTTGCCAAAAGGAAGGCTCAGCATTCCAATCGTTCTGAAACGCGAAACTTCATCGTTTTCATAAAAGGAGGCAACTTGTGGTGCTATGAAGAATAGATCGAAAGTTTTGTCCTATAATCACAGCTTTCAGTGGGACAACAAGTAATTATTAAGGTATAGGATGGATTTCTTAGAGGGGGAAAAAATGTTCACTGTTTGAGTAACACTGGAATGATTGTAATTCCATTTGGCAAAATGTAATGTAATCAGAAGTTTGCAATAGGAAGTTCATGAACGTGGACGAGAGGAGTGGTCTTACTCGCGGAAGGCGATGTCAGTGGGGAAGCAAGTGTCAGGATCGATGGAGATGTGAGGCTTGATGTCTCCGTGGGCAATCATTAGAGATATCATCTGGAGGATAACCGGAATGTCGTAGTTGTGAAAGACAGAACGTTCCGGGTACTCATCCAGATGATTTCTCGAGGCAAAAGAGCAATTTGCCGCGGAGAGGAATTTTGCCAAGGAAAGGATGCAGCCCTTTCTTTTGTCCTGCAAGTGGGCCGTTCGCTTTAGGAGTGCTTTGAGCACGATTGCAAAGCCCTGCAAAGGAAGTTGCGGTGCGGGGCTTTGGCAGACAGAGCACCGATGACACGGTTCCGCGCCGACATTTGGATTTACGAAGTGCAGAAGCATCTGTGGGATGCATACCCGCCTACCGCAGGTTGCAGCCCATGCCAGAATTTCTGAATTGCCAGCGAGGATATGCCGCACTTCAATGTCGTCACCGGCTTTCTTCTGTCGCTGTTCAATCCTACTGCACATTCTGTTGTAAGTATACGAGGTATCCTTAACGATGATGCAAAGGGAGGGTTGACGTCTACGGCCAACCCTTCCCGACTCTTGGATGAAATTATACACGGATACTGGATGGCCTAAGTGGACTGTCCCGACGCAATGTGGATTGTCCACACCGAGGGAAATAGCCGACGTTGCTATCATGATTCTAACTTCTCCTGCGGACCATGAAGCGAGTGATGCCGTTTTCACGTTAGGCGGCAGGTCACTATGGAACCGGACTGCTGGTAGCCCGGCTCCATTGAGACCTGCCGCTAGGGCGTTCACTCGCTTCTTGTTCTCGCTAAAGACAATTATACTGCCTTGGGGGAACCGATCTAAAAGGAATCCGACTACGTCGGGGTAAGACTCTGCGAATTTTTCAACGCTTTTGTGGCCTCTCGGGAGCGCAGAAACTTCTTCAATTTTGTAGGAGACATTAGGTCGTATGTAGAGATGGGAAACTATGTTGTCCATAGGGACTCCATAACATCTCTCGATGAAATTTACAACTGGATGGCTGATGGACGCCGATGCCAGGACCAGCTGAACGCCTGGGAGGGATCTTACGGTTTCGGATACGGTGATTAACTCATCCCTAAATTCCAAACCCCAACTGGGGATGGTGTGCGCTTCATCGAATATTATCGTAACTGGATAACCTGCCGTTTGAGCGAATCCTCGTAGGTTCGCAGCTCGATTAAGGGCTTCTGGCGTTAGCAGGATGAAGACCGATTGTCCACCGTTTCGAAGTACATGGTCAACATGCGTTAGAATCTCCTCCTTCTGTCTTTTCATTTTCACGAGACGATAACATGCGATTGTTTTATCCGCGTCAAAGATGAGCGCCATAAAGTTCTCAGCCAAAATTTAGCGCGGTTGCCTCTGTTGACATTATAGAGATTTCCATCGATTTTTGTTGTCCTCATAAAGAAGAATTTGATTCGTATCTTGTTCGCGAATTACAATAATAAACGTAAATATCTACGACTCTCCTTATTATGCTGTTACAACCTTAAATTTTTGGCGTTAAACAAGTGTCAGGTGCCGGTCAGATCCATGGTCCGATCCTGGCCAACGGAAATTACTCGTCGGTCCCTCTCGAATTTAGAAAATCGGATCACAGCTCATTACGTCATCCGGGTGGACGTCCGGCTTAAAAGGCGGCAAAATTAAACGGTGACGGTGGCGTCTTCAGTTTAATGAACAGAAATTAACAGGAGGCAAATTTTAATAAGCTCGATCGAAGCTCCGAGCGCTCTGAGCTTTAGAGCCTCCGGCCCTTCTCCAGCTCGTGCAAAAATACCTCGAATTTTCCGCGGATCGTGCGTGGAGTATTACATCATCTGGCCCCGCGGTTCAATGATGATGAATCAGAATTATCACCGAGTGTATTTCGATGTCCAAAAGAGGTGCAGTCTATGTTGCCAATTTTCTTTCCTTTTTTTCATTTTAATATCTTTTAATATTTATACAGCTCGAAAAGTGAATAAATATATAAAATCAGGTTACTGCTCGAAGGAATTAATGAGAATCAGTCGAATGTGTTTTCAACCAAAAATCTATCTGTATCGCCTTTGTTTATCCAAAACTGATGACTCATCTTACAATCCGCTGAAAATTAACCTCTTATGTATGGTCGAACCCATCTACGCAGAAAAAGAGAAGCTGTAATTTCTTCAATAAACTCTTACTTCATTTTCGACTTTCAGTTTTCGCCTCGTTTACACGTTTTTGGCTCATTTTACGTCTTAGCACATCTTGATTTTGGTATACAAGTTGGAAAAATTGAATTTATCTACAACCTGGAGGTCTTTCTTAAGTTTATTTGAGAATTACACCATTTATGTATGGAGGTGTGTATTGATATGTACATCAATTAAAAATCAATCTGCACCATCTTTTCTATCCAAAATGGATGGACTTTTTTCACATCATTCCGCTTATTACTATCCTCTTATTTATGGTCAAAACCTTCTGAGCCGAAAAAGTAAATCTGAAATTTGTCCAAGAAACGTTTACAATAGTTTGCACTTATATATTCCGTCTCGTTTGCCAATTTTTGGCTAATTCTTCGTTCCAGCATCTCCTGATTTTGGTATAACTTCTCGGCAAAATTGAATTTATCTACAATGGAGCTCTTTTCTAAGTTCACATGTGAAATTCCTTCGACCACTTTTGATACCTACCCCATGGCAATTCTAGATAGGAAGTGTCATGTCATGTCATTTCAACGTAACCGACGGACATTTGTGTCCGTACATTGGAAAAAAAAACACATTGGATCTAGAGTCCAGACCCTTGAAAACATTGTCAATAAAAAATACTCTTGATTCAATCGGATTTTTGCTTGAATCAAAACGAAATCCAAATCAAGAGGCTTGGTTTTTGATTTTAGCTAGATTCTGATTGAATCAAGAGAACTTTTTCTTGTCGATGTTTTTAAGAGTCTGGACTCTAGATCCAATGTGTTTTTTTTTCCACTGTATGGTTTCGCACTGACTCGAAATTTTATGCTGTGAAAGTATTAGTAACGAATTTTCCTCGTACTTTCTTCTCTTTTTTTTCGCAGCACAGAAATGAATCGGTCCTAAATCATCGGAAACGTTAATGGTAGAATTAGTTGCACTATTTTTTCCCCTACCTTGGAACCAGCACCGTGAAACTATTTCGGTAAGAAAGGAGCCCTCACCGGAAAAAAAAACACATTGGATCTAGAGTCTAGATTCTGAAAAACATCGACAAGAAAAGGACTCTCTCGATTCAATCAGATCGAAGCTTAAATCAAAAGGAAATCCGCTCAAATTATGAGGCTAGGTTCTTGATTTAATCTTAAACCTGATTAAATCAAGAGTATTTTTTCTTGTCGATGTCTTTAAGAGTCTGGGCTCTAGATCCAATGTGTTTTTTTTCCAGTGCTACAAAACCAGCGTAAGAGAAAGAGTCCGACAGAGGAATTTTAGTAAATTGTAACGGATTGATATGGCATCCGGGCCGGGGATGGATCCGGCTCCGCTAATCGGATTCGT